GTTCCCACGATTTTACCTCAATCAATCAGATCATCAGAAATATGATGAATTAGACCTCATATAACGCCTATTCAGTACGTATTAGTTGTGTGACACATGATGAGCCCTACTCGACAATTCAACCACATAATAACTACTACAGAGACATTCAAAATAAATAAGCTTTAAGTCTTCTTATTTAAGAAGCTAGTTTAGGTAGTTATTTACTTTTATACAATAGGCCAACCGCTAGAAAAGTCGATAGTGTTCCATCCAAACTGCTTCTGGCCATCCGCAAAGCCAATCTTGGTATCAACGTAGTGGTAATAAAGGATCTGTAGTGCGAGATGTCGTTAGTCACACGTGCCAAATAGTCCTCAGGGACATAATACTTACTGGTCCATGTACAGGATCATCGTAAACTCCTTGTCCTCCAGGCCCATAAACATCTCCATGGGATTCCAGGACCACGGTTCCACCGCTGTTAGTGCAGGCTTTGCCACTCGCATCCATGAACCCACCAGTTGCAGAGATCGACCGGCAGACTAGAATCTTATATTCTTCACCGGCAGCTGGCCGGCTTGTATCATAACCACAACATTTGCCCTTGCTGAAGAAGAGATAATAGTAGTTTCCGTGTTTAAATACGAAGGCGCCCTCTTCGTCGGTCTTAACAGGGTCAAAAGCAACTTGAGATGCACTGGCACCACTCGCCACAGCCTTGGGCGGATTCTTCATGGTTACTTGGTGAATGTCTTTCCAGAAGCTGCCAAAAGTGATGAGGTAATCTCCGTTAACATTGATGAGGTTAGGGTCGATTGCGTTATACGGCTTCCCGGATGACGAGCGAATCCCTGTTGATCCTAAATCTTTCCATGTGCCCACGTCCATGGTAGACGAAGTGGCAACACCAATGGCGGAGTCCTGCACGCCAAATTTACTAACTGCGTAGTACAAGTAATAAGTGTTGCCAATTAAAGCAACATCAGGAGCCTATTTTAAGAATAATGTTTAGTTGGTGTTTTCTTTTTTTGTATGAATAAAAAAAATACTTAAACATATGTAAGGAAGACATTTGACTGTTCCATACTTACCCATAAGTCCTGGTTCCCTTCAAGATCGATTGACGACCCCGACGGAAGCGCTGCACCCTTATACGTCCATGGTCCTGTAATATCTGGTGCGGTATGAACCGCTATCTTGCCTCCTGTAGAGAAGCGAAAGTATATGCCATCAGATCGTCGAATGACAGACGGATCGTGCGTATTAACGCAGGTACCCGAGCATGCTCCAGGATTAGCATATCCAGACACGGTGCTTAAAAAGAGCACAAGCGCCCATATAGTATTATAAAGCATCATGGTCATTTCGAGCGGCATATAATATCGAATTCCGAAAGGGGAAGTTCTTAGATTAATCAGATTTTCAGTTCGTTCGAAGCTTATTACCAGTAATAAAGGTGAATTTGGAGACAACTTTGTCGGGTTGAGCAGGCGATATCTTCGTATTGTTGTTTATCGAAGAGTCTTAAACTACTGTTGGTGGTATCTCATTGGAGGAATCACTACGCAGGTTTATCCGTGAAGGGTGGGGTATATAGGTACCTACTTATACCAAATGTGACACGCACCATGGTGACAGTTGAAAGTTATAAGCGCGCCGATGATATAAAATGGTATGGTATCCGCACTATATTCAAATGGGAAGGTTCGTAGCACATAATTTTCTGTTTCATCTCGTCGGTCTTAATTGTCTATTGCACGTTAATAATTTACCTAACATATAACTACCTAACCTAACTCATTTTCTTTAGTCCCGATAAAGCAACCCCAAATTTTATACTTTCTAGGTTAGTCTGTTCAAACGTCACGATAACCAATAGTATACAGTATTATTATTTACACCACCATCAATTGTAACCAGCTGCTGTCTCATATATCTCGAAGCATGGCCTAGATAGGAAATATGCATTATCTTCCATTCTGTCAGGTAAGGTACCTATGTGTGTCTTCTTTAGTTGAATTATTTTGTTGTTCTCATATATCATAATTATAATGATGTAACCTAGCCATTCAAATATTGCAAGGTATCTAATACTTGTATATGAGGAGTTAGTATGAAACTACCCTGGTTGCATGACTATACTAGCCACTGTCAAATATCTCTTAGTCCGTAGTAGCACTAAAACGATCAATTATCATCCAGGTCTCCTACTTCACCACAGATTACCAGTAGTAAGCGATTGCCATATGAAGAAACATGCTTTGCTTGTCGAAGAGGCTTTTGGACTCAGTACCTGAAGCAATAGGTAAGCCAATGTCTTTAACCTACTTCATAGACATATTCAAGCAAATTACTGGAAACCTTCGCTTGGTAATACCTAGCAAATTCAATAAGTCACTTGAACCTAACTGATCTAGCTTGGATAAATTGTAAATATTTTATCTATGTAGCAATTGCATAAACTGGAGGTATTTTTGATGTAGTATGATTGGTGGCTAATATGACTAGAGTTGCGGCTTTATAAGGGCTGCCAGGTCTGTTCAAGGATATAGCCAAGTAAGCTTTAAAAGTCGATATCTGACCTGGTTTGTAGGCAGTCAAGCCGGTACTTTTGGAAGACGATATCCACAATAAGTATCTCATCGTGCGAGTAGATAATACCGGCCTATGGCGGGTAGTTACCCTAAGATGAATTATTTGGCATCGATGCCTAGAGGAGCATAGCTACACCGCCAGGTATCTACCTCCTACATTTAGGCTAGTGTATAAGAATCGTCAAGCTTCATACTTATTTCAGCATGATGCCACTTTAATCAAAGTTGGCAAGTTAAAGAAATAGTACTTAAGCTAGCCAATAGTGAGATCATTTGACTTTAAAGGGGACTTCTGTTCAATGGACTAATGCGTGAGATAGAGCGATAAATGCTTATACGATTTACGGAACAGAATGGGAAACATTCGATACTAGAGACAGAAAGGGTCGAATGGTGTCAGGCTATAGGAGGAAGCTGACGAGGCTAAACAAGCTGTCATACAGGTGGTTTAATTGCACGAGGGAATAATAGGAAAAAGAATGAAAATAAAGCAGCTACCAACCAAATATTATTTAAAGATCTTGATTTATTTCGCGGTGGGACTTATTTGCTGCGCCACGAGGTAACGAATGATATGTTATGAAGGTGGTGAAACATTAGTATATTAATAATTGCGCTGAGCCTCTAGAGTTTCTTTATCCTGTCATTAAGGAAACGTTCCACGTGGGACGACAGCAGCTTCCGTTCCCTGCTTCGCTTCGGCTTACTACTTGGACAGGGGGTTTCATGCTCTAAATATAGGATCGATTTAGGGCTGCAGGATTCTTGAGTCCTTCCTATTAGGTGAGGCTTGATGCAACAAATATTAACTAAAGGAATGAATCTCTAAAAACTAATTAATTTGCGTATCGTGAAACAGAAACCTAGAAGCGGCACAAGGAGCAGTTTATTATGAGAAGGATAACCAGATGCCTTATTTATTACGATGCCGATCTTCTCTGTAGTTTACGCCTCGACTTCGCGACTCCAGGACTTACTACATCTTTAGCTAATTGATTATGAATTACAAGAATTAAATTCTCCGTATCTCCTTAATATCTATATCCAAGCCTACATTTCAATCCTGATGAGCATGTTCAACTGGCGAGTAGTCTTGCTTATAGCGTCGTTTGGAGGATGGGGTGTTATGGGACAATCGGGGACCTCTTCTACCACAACAGACCGCCCTTCGCCTATTACATCTCGAGCCTCGGCTATTACAAAAGACCCCTTTGTAGGGTTCGTCGTTGCGTTAGCTACAAGTAGGTCAATTCTTTATAACCTCTTCGAAGAACGAAGCCCGAGCGTGTATAACTAACATAAGCTAATAGCCAAACCGATATATTGTCCTGATGGCGACGTATTCACCACATCGGCCAGATTCGCAGCATGCTGCGCTTCGACGGCATCCTCTTGTGCTTTTGCTACGGGCTGCGAAGACAATGCGATGGCATTTTCGAAAGGCGCAACGTCTAATTGGTAAGAAGACTCTGCGTCTCATTATACTTGGTGGATGTTAGCTCAACTAATGGTTCAAAAGCGGTCCAATGCGATGCCAAACACGGCAAATATTTTCAACATACGGAATAGGGGATCCGGTTCTCATGCCCCTCTGTGCTAGCTCGGGCGAAATAGAACTGTTATATCGGACAGTACCGACGACTTCAAGTTTAGCCCTGCCTCTTACAGCTGTTGACACCACCGGCGCGTTATCAACACACCCGCCAATGATGGTCACGATTATGGACGCTAATGGCTACCCAGAGCCAGCAGCAACTGCCGTACAAGCTAATCAGGGCACTCGTGCGACAACTGACTCCCTATCACCTAACTTAGTTGGTATAATTGTCGGCTCTACGTTTGGGTCTGCTGCGATTGTGGCATTAGCGGTGGTTGCATTCTTGTATAGGCGAGGGCAAGACAGGGAAAAGCGAGCGACCAAAAATCGCGAGCGAAATTGGAAAATACGACCGGAGACACCGGAGTCATGTGATGGGGAATCTCATGTCTCCGTAGCGGGTTCAAAACGGAGATATTCAGACCCTTACAGGAGCAGACCGATCGAATTATCGCCTATGCCTAGGACATGGCGATGACACTTCACAAATCCATTTTCGCAACTTCTTAAAATACATATTGCAACCTGCATTTATTATGTATAACGTATAATATCCATGTATTATAAAGCATGCCTCGGCGTTTGGGAGGTTGTTAGGTTGGGTAGCATTCAGGCACGGGTAACAAAAAAAATCAAGATTCCTTGTTTACCCAAGCCTCTCCATGATGTAGCAGTGATAGTTTATGATTGGCAGTATCACGTGGTTCATTTGGAGTACATACCAAAAATGGAGGACGACATCATTTCAATCCTTTTTATGAGATGTTCTTTTACAAGATGGAACATATCCTCTCAACTAAACAGCCAGTTGAACCACTTGGCGAAAGAGTTCCTATGGTTGTTAAGCAAGATATCTAACATATATAGGGGGGGGGAACTTACCTGGGCGGTGCCGGGACGAACTTGTTAGTGTAGTCTTCGACCGCAGCCACGTCTCTGAGCAAGTCCACTTCATATGGCCTACAATGCCGGGTCTTATGAACTAGCTTCCAGCCAATGAAGAGTATTGGACATATGGCAACCATAACGTAGCTAATTCAACCGTTAGCTATGATCTATTGGGTATCTAGAACATATCACTCACGCGAATAGAAAATTCGGAACATCCCATTTGCCCGGTAGGAAAACCGTGTAGCCTCCTACAAAGGTCATGACGAAGGTTGCGAACAAAGCATAATAGGCTGCATAAGGTTGTAAGAACCCCTTGTAAGGTAAGGAGTCGCGACTGATGCCCTGCGCCTCCAAGGCACGATGGAAGCAGATGTAAGTAACACACATGACACTGAAATTGATGAGTTGGGATGCCGTTACCAGGCTAACAAACCAGTTAAGCACCACTGCAGCATTCTCGCTTACTTGGAGGAAGGCCAGCAACGCGATCAACAATACCAACGTCACGCAGTAGACGGGGACGCCTGTTTTCGTACACTTGGTGAAGAGCTTGGGTGCCTTGCCCTCGAGGGCGAGTCCGTAGAGGGACCTCGATGCGCAATATACATAACTATTGCCAGCAGAGAAGGCAGCAGTCAATACCATGGCGTTGACTATGTGTGGGAGGATTGGGATATTTAATCGATCCATCGCAACAACATACGGTGAAGCTGCCGCTCCAGGCGCAGAATCAGCGAATGCCCGGGCCATTTCAGCATCGTTGTATGGAACTAGAATTCCCACACATAGAGACCCAAGCATGAAGAACGTGGTCAACCGATAGAACACAGCATTAAAGGCTTTAGGCATTACCACGCGAGGATTTTCGGCTTCGCCAGCGGCCATAGAGACGTAATCCGGACCAGCAATAGTAAAAGCCGCCCGGATCAAGCATTGCATGAAACCCTGAAAACGGCCAAGGGAGCCAGTCGTGTAATATTCAGCGAACGATCCAGGTTCGTACCAATACCGAAAGCCGAATCGATCGTGCAGCGGATTCCCACCCACCATAACAACGAACGTAAATATGATCAATCCGACGATAAGTAACACCTTACCGAGAGCGGCCCAGAATTCCGTTTCACCGTACCATTCAACAGCCAGAAGGTTGATTAGCGCATAAAGCACAAGGACGATTGCAATAATGGCACCTGCTGGCACGATATCACTCCAGAAGTGAATGACAACATTGCATGCCGTCACTTCGAAAGGCACAAGCATAGCCTCAAAGATGAAAAAATTCCAGCCGGCAGCAAAACCGAAGGCTTCGTCGACGTAACGACCGGCGAAACGGATGAACGGTGAGGAGATGGGTAGATATGACACCATCTCTGCCATACACATGGTCACGGCGAGAATGACAGTACACCAGAGTGAGAACGCAATGAACAGACTTCCCGGGCCGCCGTCGAGTAGGGCGGCACCGATCTGAACATAGAGGGCCGTGCCAATCGTGCCGCCGATGCCGATCAGCTGGATATGGCGAGCCTTGAGTTTGCGGTGCGTGCCGTCCGTCTCACCAACTATCGCAAGAGATTCGATCCGGCTGTCTTGCCGACCGAGGGCGATCTTCTCCGTATCAGAGAGGCCATTTCCAACCGTATACACAGGGGCCGAGGCGGTGGAATATTCGACACCCGAAGATGCCATGGTGAGGAGTTACTCCTCTATCTGGAGCGAGTATGAATACTTCAGTGAGCAAAGAACCATATGCTAGAGATAGTATTAAGGCGACTGAAAAAATTCCTTTGAGAAGAAGAGAAAAGAACTCTTCCACGAAGTCCATAGGCGACGGCTTGTTAAAAAGCAGTCTTCTTGCGATAGCAAGGCGATCCCTAGCCAGGCTATGTGATTAAGGTCTAATCAGCTAGTCACAAAAATGGTAATTCAAGAAAACGCCAAAAACGCCGGAATGACGAAGCAGGATTACCTACGCGGCCTTTTAACAGGTACGGTGAGAAAGATAACATGCGCCAAGCCGAATCCGGCGGCTTGGTTCTAGGCTCTACCTAGGAGGACTGGTGACGCAGGGCGTAACAGGGATTCAACTGGAAATGTGACTGGGCCGTCACCAGTGATCAGCGATCAGCGATCGGCTAAGCGTAGGGATATCGACAAGATATGCATACGAGAAATCAGTGACTTGAGCGGAGCGGGAGCTAACCCCGGGCGAACCAGGTACCCGATAAGGCTCGTTGCGATTCATCGACGGCGATGCAGGCGGCCGACGGGAGACAGAGAATCTGACATCAGCCCTTTCTATCAACCACCAGTAAGATGAGGTTGCGGCGTTGCCAACAGCCGATACGTGGGGGGATTAGTATTAGCATTATCCTTGATTTTTGGAACGAGACCGTTGGTTCTAGAAACTTGTGACCGCATGCCAATGCTGTGACAAGTCTACTATCAGAGCCTAGCAAATAGAACAGCGAGCCAAGGTTTTTGATTAGAATATAACTTGTATCCCGCTGCCGCTTGCAAAATGGCGGCGTTCTTCGGTGAAAGTTATATACGCCACTACAGCTGTTGTCCACTGAGGCTCGGTCAACCCATAAAACCTAGCTCTACGCCATACCTACGTATGTGTTCTACATGTTTTGCGTTTCCGTTTTGTCGTTTTGTGTTTCCGAGTCTCATATCTTTTTCATGCAGTGTAGTGTGCGCATTGATACCGAAGCACTGACCGAGAACTTAGAGTTGATGCAGTTGGTTTGGAATTTCTAACCGAGGTACCCCGAAACGAACGTTCCCGATCCAACAACATCCAACTTTCCACATGATTTGTGTTGTGGGCAAGCTAAGCCACTAGGAAAAGCGATCGAATTACACTAACTAACCTAGAGAGTTCTAACTGCAACCTCATCAAGATGGTAAGTTGACGGAATAGCCGTCTAATAAATTCCAATCTAGGCGCCTTAGGCGTGGGGAATCCTGGTTTTAGTCTCTCTTGTCTTCCGTAGGCGGTTAGTTTGTGGACAGGTCACCAAAACGACTTCTTCAAAACTAATGTAAGGAAGCTTCATCCTTAACCGGGGCTACCCAGGTAGGGATCCCTTACCAGGACTTCACGTTTGCCGCAGTTGTCGCGAGTTTGCTCTAGTGTACAAAGCAAACTCGGGATAGTAGGATTCCAATCTTTCAACTCGTCCGAGAGTCGTCCGAGAGAAAAACCGATTCTCGCCTACCACGAAGAGTACTTAAAACAGCAGTGAAAACCGCTGTCGCGAAGTCCTCAGAGTGGAACAAAATACCTAGCTCTTGGCTTGTGAACCAACTCGCGCGATCCATCTGCAAATCGCCTTGTTAGTGTATCTCTATGGTAGATTACGCAAGCCACAAAATGGTGCAAATCTCAACGTTTCTCGAGGCCAACAAGTTCAGATTCTGGGGTTTGCTTACGTTTCCAGACCCAAGTATAACATATTGAGCGTCTATTATAGTTAGTTTAAGATGCGACTGCACTGGCTCTTCGGCTGTTTCGTCTGTTTCGTTTTTAGAGGCAGGACAATAATAATGGATATTCAAGAGTCCTAATTGAGGTTGTTGTGCTTCGATATCAATTTCTAGGTCTGAATTTGCGCAGCTGTCGTTGCTTGTCGATTGACGCTGAGCTTTGAGTTTCTTATATCTCTTAATTAGTGAGTTAAGACAACGAGATGTTGTGGTCCCGGCTGTAATAATTTGCTCCAGAAGCATGAGCCTCTTGTTACTTATGATAGTAACATTGACTCCCCGATTTAAAGCCTCTAGAAGTTTATCAACTATGATCGCAGATGTGAGATTTGGGGTTTGAATATAGATGATATGTTCCGACATATCTAAGAGTTGCAGCACGGCCGTATTGAGAGGCGTAGGCGGCGGTGCTGGGTGGTCGTGCCATGGGATTAAGTCAAACTTAGGATTACGGTGATGAGATGACGGTAGAAGTATCGCTGGGATCTTGATAGTACCAGCATGATTTTGGGGTGCTGACGTTAAGCCGAGTTCAAGTAGTGTTGAAAGCCAAGAACGGTCATAGTCCAAACCACGTCCGCCCGTGAGATTCTCAAGTTGCCTATCCCAGACATGTCTGTAAAACTCGACCATGGTGGTCACAACGTCGCCGCTAACTTCGACACATCCTTCCAACCACACCTCCCAACTCACATTGCAGCTAGGAAGCCAGGCTCTCTCCCGGTCGACGATAAGGAATTTGGGATGCATCACGCTAAAAGGTAAGAAGAACAAACTTTTAACACGCAAATCGATGAGTCCAGCCTCTAAAACTTCCGGGCTTGGCAACCCTAACCGCGTCGTCCATGTTGAGGGCGGGTACACGTACCCGTCCTTAGAGAATGGATGGGATAATTTTTGAAATAGGGACCTAGACGAGAAACATATCCGTATTTTCAGTGGCGAGAACACATTTGCTTCTGGACTATTTGAACGGATGCTACGCATGCGCTCGCGGCGATATTCAGCGAGCTTTTCTAGCGTTTCTCTCAAGGCGTCCAGAGTGGGTCCTTGCGCCCAGAAACAAGTAACAAGAATAACTTCATGTTTAGCTGTAGCTATTGCAGGAAGGAGTGCTTTCAAGAATATAGATGCGCCAGTACCTATAGGCTCCAGTTAGCCAAAGTTCTCAAGGGAAAGTTAATAAGAATTAACGAACCGAGACGAAAAGATTTCACTGTTGTGGTACTTGCTAGACAGTCTGGATTTGAGAGGTAGTAATCTGGAAATTCATTGTGTAAAGTTGAAGCGTGTCCTACGAGGGAGTGTTTCCATGCTTCCTTAAATATAGGAAAAGAGTCAAGTTTAATACTCCTTCGTTCTGCACGATCTGAGATATGCTCCGTTTCTATAGGGTCCATAATACGAATAATGATTGAATCTAGTTTGAATCTAGTTGGTACCTGGTGATGACAAGTTGTAAGAAAACCATCCGAGGCTGGTGCAACATTGTACCTCCTAGGACTTCAAGGTAAGAAATAAGCCACACCATGCTCGTTTACCTAATGGGGCTCAAATCCTTGTTTGTCTAATTAAGGTGTTGGATCAAATTTTATCCAAACGAAATATGTTCAAACGGCGGCCGAAAGTGAAGATATGGACATGGACAATTCTCCAATTGCTCTAACCTAGTTTATTAGGTTAGGTACTTCTTCATATATTTATCCCAATCTTCAACTTCAATTAGAAATTGAGGGAAATTACTCTGTTTAACCCTATGCTAAATATTTCTTGCTTGGCTAAATTATCCGTCTCAAATCTCCTCGCTAAATGGTATCTTGCATTTATGTACACGAATGTTCCCCCACGCAATATATATACCTACCTACGCTACAGAAGCTCGGACTTCTCTGCGGGGCTGATCGACACTGGGTAGTAGAATAATTCCTTGGGGTCGAGTTCTGCCTTCAGTTGCTGTAACTTGGCCAGATTCTTACCCCAATACATCTCTTGTGCCCTCGTGCGGTTTAGATTTGTGTCTGGGTAGTTGAAATACATTCCCCAGTCGTCCGCTGTTAGGGGAGCTGTCGTGGTGTCTGCCCAATCGTTAACGAATTTGAAGGCCTTGTCCGGAGCATCGCTTGTCGTCATGTAGAACTGGAGTATGTATAGCTTGTCACGGTGTGCATACGACGTCAAATCCGGGTCAGCTTTCCACACCGCCGAATTCTTGCCTCCTTGGAGGTCCAGCTGGATGTACCACCGAGTTGTCTCCTTCTTGGCGACGTCCAACCAATAATCAGCAAAATTCTTCGCCGCAGTTCCGCTCAACCCCTTCAGCTCTAAACCCTTGCCGTAGAAGTTCTCTTGCTACAGCGAAGTCAGCTCCTTATCAAAGTTATCAGACCAGGTTACTTACCACTTGTGTGTAAGGGTACGTCTGGTTAAGTTTCATAGTAGCGAAATGTTCGAGACCCTTGATCCAAGTGGTCGTCTGGGCTTGCGCTATGGACGCCCCGGTCTTGTTGAGCAATGGCGCCAACGCAGCCTCGAGGTCTGTCTTGTTTCCTTGATAGATGCCCTCCAGCTGGGTGAATTGACGCGTGGCAAAAAGGCGCATGTTCAGCTCGGCTGGCATAGTATTCAGGGTGTAGTCTTCTATCGCCTCTAGAGCAGCGACAGATGTGTTTTTTTTCAACGGCATATTAACGACGAACCATGTGACATTTGCCGGAGGCTCAAACGTCTTAAGCTCATAACTTGTAACAACTCCGAAATTTGAGCCTGCGCCTAGTAGACCCCAATAGATGTCCTTGTTCTCTGTTGCCGAAGTGTGGACAAGCGATCCGTTTGCTAATGCAACATTCATTCCAACCACCCAGTCCAATGCGAGACCGCGCGAGTGGGAGCTCATGCCGAATCCACCATGGAGGATATGACCGGAGATGCCAACACTAAGTCGTTAGTTATGGCTGTCATTTATGGCTATGATTCAACACTTACCCTGGACATGTTCCGTGGGATATAGCGCGGTTTCCTTGAGCGTATAGCTCTGCTGCTAGGTGACCCAGTCTCGTACCCGAGTCCACAGTCGCGATGTTGGTCTCCGTGTCAAGCTTAACAGAGTTCATACGATCTAACTCGATGATAAGGTGACCATCCTCTCCACCAAGACCTAGAGATGCGTAACTATGCCCTCCGCATTTCGCGGTAACCTTATACCCCAGTTTTGAGCCGCACGCTATGGCAGATTGAATCTGCTGTACCGTGGTCGGTACGGCAATGGCTGCAGGTGTAAATTCTAACCGCTTGTTGAAGGGCGTGATGTCGCGGTTGTAATCGTCAGAACCGATAGCATCTATGACTGTCTCACTACTGGAGAGGCAATCCTCTAGAGCAGCACGCCTGGTGAGGACAGCTCCCCGAGCGAGGCTGGCCACGAGCCCGAGACATAAGGCCGCTGTTGAATGCATCCTGGTAGTAGCTCTATGAAAGTGACGTTTGTTTTTGAGATGCCACCGATGCGACTAAGGGTTCCTATGGCGTCCTCAATCTCCGATCTTTCAGAGATTAATATACCCTCGACTTCGGTCAGTTCCGTCTATAGAAGCCCAGCGATTCTCGAACGACGTGTCAAACGACCCTATGACTTTATCACAGACTGCTATTCATACTTAACTTATAGCGGACATGTCGTCGACGACGATATAGGGCTAAATGGTCCGATACTTAATATCGAACATTCTTGGCCGTCATCCTCGGGAATTGGGAGGCTCTCCAAGTGGATGCCCCCGGGGATTGACCGACTACGTGTCAGACTTTTCTGATAGAGAAGCCGAGACGTAGGAATCTTGACCCGAACGAAGCGTGCTGTATTCACGCCAGTGGGATCGTGGCGATCTTCTAGGCTTGCCAATCTATCTTTTTAGTAGCACGATATCATATACAGCCTATATGAAACCTAGCCCATTAACATAACAGCTAATCAAGTACAGCAACCAAAGCGCGCGTCTATATTAAAAGCGCCTCCACACTCTGGGGTACAGATCAAACAACCGCTTGATGCTGACAAAAACCACCTGATATATGCGTCTTCCAGTCCCTTGATACTTCAACACTAAAGACCTTTGAGAACTCCTAGAAACTTGCGTCATTATTCGTGAGTGAGTGCCGACCGTCTGAGCTCGGCAAGTCGGGTTAAGAGGCCTACATTTACGATACGCTTAGATTGAAAATTTAAAACTCCAATCCCCAACAAACAATCCCACGGAGCATCATGCGCCATATTGGCAAGTCCCCCGATGACAGGCGGACGGCCTAGACGGTGTTAATTGCCGACTCTTTGACTAGGAGATAGACCTAGTGTCGTCAAGACCTATCTCGCGATGGGACCATGCATAGGCCAATGTGTGGCATATTAAGGGTTCTCTGGAAAATTTACCAGGTCACGCATCTACCACCTCCAGGTTGGGGTGCATAATCTCCCTCCAAGAGGGTACACTTCCTAAGCGCCAGCCGCGTATCTCACGCCCGTAATCGAGAATGAAAAGGCTGTAATTAGACGCCGTAATTACCATGTGCTGTCTGTCCATCAGGACGTAGGACCGTACCTCCGGGATCGTCGCGGGGAGTGTGGGGTGTACTCTGGGGCATCGTCACATCGAACGAAGTACGGAATGCTGTGTAGCCAACGAGATGGCTTTATCGGGGTCGTTAATTAAACTAAGGTTGACTATTCAGACCACGTACCGGATCAATTAGCCTCAACCCCCCCTGCCGAGAGTAATTCCTCCCGTCCGGAACGTTGCACAATCGGGATCATGTTCCGAGTCGTTGCCATTTGCGCTCGCGGAACGAACTCGTCGGCCTGGTTTGCCTAGTAGCAATCTGTTCGCAACAACTTCCCCTAGACTGTCAAATTACAACACTGCTTTGAGGTTGTAAACTGCCTAAGGAATGGCGCCCTTTGGCTGTACCTGTTATGCCCTAGCGTTCTCGCCTCGCGATACGACTCCGTCACCTCAAAGGCGAACACATTCTCTTCGTCTTCAAAAAATCTAATCCCTAGTCCGTTTCTTTCACTTTCTTTGAGATTTTTCTAGCCTGACGTCCTCTCGCTACGTTGTAAGACATAGTTCGCTATGTCATTCTTCAAGTCGTTAGTTCTAGGAGCACTAGGCTTAGCACCAGAAGTGCTGGGAGCTAATCTTCTTGCATCGCATTATACTGGCAAGATCTTCTCGCTTTCTTTCACTGGAAGTGGCAGCAATGCTACCTTAGTCAATAAGTCATTCGTGTCAGGATGTGGAATATTGCCTGCTTGGCTGCACGTGGACTCGGGAGTAGTATATTGCGTCGATGAGGACTGGAATGGAAGTGGTATGCTTGCCTCTTACTCTGTAGAGTCAGACGGTAGCTTGAAGCAAACTGGGCAAATCGTGACTTCAGGCGCCAGCGTTCACGGCACGCCATATGGTGGTAAGGATGGCAACGGCTTCATCGCCACAGTAGAATAGTAAGAGACTATCCATGTCCCCTCGTTACGATTAAGGATTAACAATTGCCTTAGTGACCCATCAACATTGACGAGGTACAAGCTTCCCCTCTCCGAGGCTTCAGCCGTCCTGGCGCAGTCGAAGTTCACCATGTCCGAGCCTGGACCCAACTCGCGACAGAATGCGCCTCACCCACATGCTGCCCAGCTTGACCCAACCGGAAAATATCTTATCGTGCCGGACTTGGGCGCGGACTTAATCCGCATCTTTAGCATTGACGCTGAGACCGGCAACCTTACAGCGTGCGAGCCAGGCGTCGCTGGCGCAGGCGATGGGCCACGCCATGGTGCCTGGTGGGCGCCTACCAACGGTTCCACGGACGGTCAGAGGCTGTACACAGTGAATGAGCTAGGTAACTCGGTATCTGCCTGGACTGTTTCCTACCCTGACGGGGGATGTCTATCCCTAAAGAAGACCCAAACGCTGGCCACGTACGCTGAAGGTAGCGTCGCCCCTAACGGTTCCAAGGCTGCCGAAGTCCAAGTCTCCGGTAACTTCCTATACGCAGCCAACCGAGCCGACGAGACGTTCGGTCCTCAAAACGACTCCCTAGCCACATACAGCATTGACCCTAGCTCTGGCGATATCAAGTTCGTCGAGGCCACCCCTGCGCACGCCTGGTTCCCTCGCACATTCTCGATCAACAAGGCCGGTAACCTCGTCGCCGTCGGTGGACAGACGAGCAGCAACGTAGCTATCATCGCACGTGACCCCAAGACAGGCAAACTAGGTGACCTCGTAGTCAACCTACCGATTGCGACACCTGGTACTCCCCAGCAAGAAGATGGGCTGAGCGTTGTTGTGTGGGTCGATTAGATCGATAACAAAAGGGGAAAGGGACTCTGAATCCTTAGGTAAAATGATGTTTTGGACTCAAGGGTTGCTCGATGGTCTAATTCTAAGGATATAAGACTTGGTCGGTATTGTTTTCTTCGTGTTGTATACACAGAAAAGGATTATATATATTTTAAATTTCGTGTCCTCCGTAGTATTTAATCAGTAAATATGGTGGTGGATTATGACATACTATGTGACCCTCACAACAGATTTGTCTCCCTTGCAGAAACTATTTGCTATCTTAGACCTGATATATAATATCAACTAGAGTCGAAGCCCACCCCTAGCACTTGTTCGGCATTTCATTACACTGAACCTGTCCTCTCATATGAGCCTCAGCGAAATGCATAAAGACATACAGGGCTTAATCCTCAACCGAATAATCATTTCCACATAAAAATACAAACAATAACACCACCTCTAGGGTAATAATAATCCAAAGATGATGGACACGCTCGGATTAAACATTTACACCGACGTGTATTTCCCGTGCCAACTAAAAAAAAAAAAAAAATTGCGATTGAAGGGAACCATATAAATACAAGGTTGATATGTGGTATCCTAATGTAATATTGAGTAAGGAGCACAAAGTGTATTATCTCCTCGAAGACGCAGAAACCAAATCTACTTTGAGAAAATACTCGGCTGCTATTCGCAAGCCCGTCGTCCTGCTCGGTATCTAACATGAACCCGTGAATCGTGCCGTGGCTTGTCCTAAGAGTGCCCTACCTATGAAAATGCCAGCCCAAACCAGAACCACCACGCCTAATGAAAGCCTTTTTTCGTCCAACTCCGCGTATTTGTACCTAGCAGTGATGCTCTTATACTGTGCCGCTGATGCTGAGTTCCCGAATCTCTTGCAATACTTGCTCCACTCTCGAGTCCAGTTGACCTTGGGCGTACTGCTCCCTAGTGTCCGCATCCAAGTACTGTTGAACTTGAGCCATTCTACTATAAGCCTCAGCACAGAATCGGAGTTGGATCTTGACGAGGGCTTCGAAGCTAGGGTCGAGGTAGGGTACTCGAAGGTCGATAAGCTGAGGTAGCTCGGTGGATAGCTGCTCGTTGAGTTGTTCGTAAGCAGCCTTGGCGATTTCCATCTCCTTCTCTGTGCGTGGAAGTTTTGTTACATCCTTATCGGGCTTCTCGGCTAATTTCTTGACTTTTGCTCGTAGCGCATCGTAATCGAGCAGCTTGTGGCCACGCTTCTTGATGCCTAAATGCCGTATCAGTAGCAAATACGAACAAGGACAGAATGAAGACCCTACATTCATTAACGTCAGGGAAGTATGCACAGAACCTAGTGATAGGCTCTAGTACTGTTGTTCTAGCAGATGTTAACTCGGTGCTCTTAGTGTCGCATCTCGTCAGACCTATACCTATACGGACCGTCCAGCGCTTTTATGGTTTCTGTATCTAAATCTTCCACGGCTTGTTTGTAGCTTCTGCTAACACCGTCCTTAGCTCCGGCATCACCATAGAAGGCATCTATCGTCTCGGCTATGCGCATTTGAGAGGCAGTCATCGCTACGAAATATTCTTAGTATACCGCCCAGTTCGCACACTCGGCTTTAAAGACTTTTGGCTCACCTCGTATCGAATCCAAATATCCTCTTGCTTCCTTCTGAAGACGCAGCGAAGCAGCTTCCATTGTCCGAAATCGTCGCTCCTCAACTTCGTAGTCGCGATCGTTTGTCTTTTCGACATGGCCCGTCTTCATCATCACCTGGGTCGTTGCACGATTGACATTTTTCTTGAATCCTGAGAGAGGGATAAGTTAGAAACAACTGATTCTGCTATAACTTGATGCTTGATATAATCGGAGGTTCGTACCTGCCCACGACATGGTTGTGACTTTGCTTTGTTCTGCTCTGTACTATTTGTATTGGTGATAACAAACAGTCGGAATTTAGATATGTAATTGCGGTCTAGATGCTAAAGGAATGAGAATTGTTTGGGAGTTGTAGATTTGATATCAAGGGTAAAGTAGAATTGTAGAAGGATTGACGAATCCGAATTGTGTTTGTAGGATGGTTTGGTTCAATGGCTTAGGTGACAATTGGTCGCAGGCCGTCGTGGCTGAGCATTTGTACGTACATCTGGCTAGAATCCATCCTACGTCAGCAAATTAACTGCGCCACAGATACGGCTAGTCGGCACCCCGCCTAGATATGTACCTACTGGTTGCGTCAGGTACCTGACTTTTAGGTATGGACTACCCCGCTATAATCCATGAGGTCCCATCAGTACCTAACCTAATGTAGTCGAGTTGAATCTAGACTTGTGTCCATTTTATTTATTTTTGCCTATGAGAGAGAAGCTTAGAAAGCTGAAGACAATATCCAATCCCTACGTTCTACGTTCTACATTAATTCCTTCAGCGTTTCCCTTTACTCAAAAAAGAGGGCCTGATTGGTCCAAGATATGTTCAATCCTCGTTTTTTGATTGTCAGCCTAGGCAATCAAGCACCATATTACGAATGCCTCCACTCCGCCGGCCATTTTGCACTTGCTTCGCTGCAAAGGCTACTTAGTCCAACCCAACCACCATTCACATCCGAACGATATGGCGGGAAATCCTGCTTGGCCTCGACATGCTATACATATACCCTATTGCAGAGCCCAACCCAGATGAATATTTCAGGTCCTTGGCTTGCCAAAACTTGGAAGGAGACGCTACAATACCACCAGCTGAAATCATCTGAACTAAGTCTCGTATTAGTTCACGATGATTTAGAGGAAGATCTGGGCCACGTTAAAATTCGAAAGTGGAACGCGAGCCATCGAGGACACAACGGTGTTAAAAGTGTCAACGGGAGCATAAAACCTGCGAACTTCGCCGGCGCATATTGGTCACGCATATCGATTGGTATCGGCCGACCCGATGCTAGAGACCACACATCTGTCTCCGACTATGTGCTGAAGAAAATGACCAGATACCAAAAGGATACCATTGACTCTGAAGTTGGTCCAAGAGTGCTTGAATGTTTGCACGAAATACAGGAAGGTTGGAAACGGGAGTACAGCAAAGCGGCTGCAAAACCCTGAATTTCTCGGCTGCGACTGAGAATGCCGATTTATCATTCCGGACCCCATCCGAAGGAGCAGCAGATAAGTGCGTAGACCACAGATAGTCGTGCCAATATGGCTTTTATCCCAGGACCTTCGAATGTCAGCATCCAGGATGCGGGTTGTATTCTTCCGCAGTTCATCTTCGCACTCTGGATCCCCATGCTGGATTGTTAGAAATTGTCGGGTTTGCCTCGGACAACTTCCGCCACATTCCCGAGATATTGATACTCAAGAATGAAATTTTTAGGTTAGATTCTTTTCATGCATGTGCATATCCTGGACACTTCCGCTGAACAAGGCCAAGACACGGTCGACACGCCAGCGAGGTCCATCCCCAAAGCAAATATAGCTTGCCGCCAGTTTCCAGATAAGCGATTGTATCATATCTAGTAGAGGGCCCTCCACTTGGTTCGAATCCCAGATTTGTAGCACCTGATCGAGTTGCCTAGATGATTCGAGGCTTAGGCGTTTGCCAAGCTCTAGCTCGACAGCCATCGGAGATAACCAGCCAGTGGTGTCCTGGCCCTTTGATTTATAATCGTTCATGACTTGTTCCTGCAGAATCAATGCCGAATCGATTTCACCAGCAGGATTGTCCCCTTCAATATAACCACGGTCGCGGAATTCGCGACGTGCTTCCGCCAATGCTATGATATATCGTACATTGTGTAAAGGCGGCGAGTGCTGAACCATATTCCAGATTACTTCCCTGGCTTCCCTTGCTACCCGCGGATTTGTATGTGCGTATAACTCGGCCCTCCTACACTGTTCTAATAGAAGCTCGCCGCAAGCCCAGAATAGCCGACCGGCGAAGGTGCTCATCCCTTTTCCGAGATATGGAATGATGTCCGAAGGGGGTTGGTCTACCCGTATGAATCGAGTTGTGTCAAACCACAACCCATAGTCCAATCTCGTGCTCATCCATCCTATGTCAGTTCCTCTTCCAAGCGTAGTCGAGTCCTGAGACTTCAAGATCCAACCCGAGCGAGCACCAATACTGGGAGGTATTCCTTGTGTATTGGTATGTGACAACTTTGTAATGCGCTTTGTTTGATTGCCTCCCTCGTCGCAAAGTTCGGCAACAATATCTTCATCTAACCCGGTCATTCCAGCAGCTTCTTGGATCGCTTTGACCAGCTCGGGGCGATCATCATGCCGGGCCACCCGAACAATCTTTGAGATGGCCTCTTTTAACCTCTGGGTCTCGTTACGCTTATCTCGTGACGCGCTATTTTGTCGCTTCCGGAATGCGCGCTGTGCAATCTTGCCCCGTTCACGCCGTCGCTGAATCTACATTAGCCGTGATTTCTAGGATACTAAGATACTATACAAGGATGAACAATCTGATAGGGGTATTCATTTCTCACACGTAGTTCTTCTTCAGCCTGTTCTAGCTGCTTTAATCTTTCAGGTTCCATTGCAATATTACGCTTGCTCTGCCTGAGATTGGTGTGTTCAGGATATCTTTTATATACAACCAGCACTTGAAGTAGGCTTCATGGAAATAGCGGGCGAATAATCACTCCGATGGCGTAAAATCACGGAATTAGTAAGCTTAAACTATATACATGTAACATTAAAGGACGGCAACCCTTGTCTTCTAGTAGCGCTAGGTACTTCTTAACCTTATAGGTAACAGGTAAGTATTTACGTACTGAATGAATTAGGGTGGAATGATGTTGATTAGGTTAAATTGATAATTAGTAGGCAAAGCCTAGTAATGTTCAGTATAGCTACCTAGTAATTACATAATCACCTCCCGCAGCACCTATCAGTTATATAAAAGTTTAAGTACCTAGTGAACATCAATGTGAAAACAAACAGCTTTTCCATTCCCTCTACTTTATTAGCCTTGATATCAAGCTATTAACTTTTAATAAATTTAAGCATTATATTTTTATTAAAACTACTTGGAAATAAGTATTTTAGATCACATCTGTTAAAAAACCATTATTGCAAGTTTATAAATAAATTAGCAATGTAGCTAATGTTCGATCAAAGTTACGTACACTTTCTACCCAGCAAGATTTAAAAAATTACCAACCGGAAAGAGCAACAACCATAAAAGTACATAACTAGCATAAACCTTACATGTCCGTGTGGTAATAAGAGGTACCTAATTAAATCGAGCTTTTAAAACCTGCCATAAAATACCTATAAGTACATCTTAAGGAAATTTATATCGAGATTTTGCAATTGCTACATCGTACCTCCTAATGTTGCTTCGCATGATTTGCTACCAAAGTTGCAGCGCAAGATAGCTTGTGTGGAACAGTTAGTGTCAGCAGACACCTCACACTGGCCGCCAACGCCTGATGACTCTCTGATAAACTTACAATGAACTTATCACTATCTTCTTCAACTGCCTTACCATATTTTTAGTAATAAATACCTAACTTAAGTAGAATTGTGCTGCTAATCAATCTTGTTGTTCTTTTACCTTATGATGTTTGCTATATTCACTACCCTTGTCCTACATAATACACCCTAAGGAGTGCACCCGTTTGAATCCCTAACGACTCATTGCGTATTAAGGTATTCTTGATTTACTTTCCACGTAGATAAATTTGCTTCGGGTAACCAGCACCAGCTAGGTACTTGAAGCTTGGGATAATAGATAGGAAGACTCTGGGTTTTGTAATTAGTTTTGTTGACACAGCTTTAAAGGTTGTACCTATCTAAGCACATGCCGCAATGGATTTCCAGGGAGAAGTGACATTTGCACAAGCCAAAAAGCGGAAGGCACAGAAAGCATTACAAGAAGCATGGATTAAGCTCTGAGTTCGCATTGGGCCAGATAACGCGTTGAAGATCGAGTCGAGTTTGAGGCTGCAACCGTCTCCGAATTGCAGCGCTTCTTCTTCACATGCCCTATCCAAAACCCCATCAAGCCAGACTAGCGAGGTTAGCAGTGAGGCACATGGATCACAAACGTCGCGAAGTTCATTAGAGATGCTCCCTCGCCGTCCATCTCCACCGCCTCGGGAAGAGTCAAGGCCACCTTTCGAATCCACTAGGGACATATGGGATTTATGGGAGAATTCAGCCGACAAGTGGCCCTGGAAGCAACATGAAGCACGCTTCAGATCGGGAAAGAATGCTCTTCGGATAGTCACATCACCTATAGTAAATTTCTGGCTGGAGCATGATATGCTCCGAAACAAGAGTGATACAGATGAATTGCTCGACACGATAGATGTCTTATGCCAGGCCGACTCTATCGATAATTGTACCGAGGTTGTTATCAGACACTTGGCCTTTCAGAGAAAGTTCTTAGAAATAGCCACACTCGAGGAACAGAGACGCGAGCTTAATGGTCCCGACTATATCAACAGACTGAACGTCGTCGCTAGCGAGCTGTTCAACAGGACGGAGGGGTTTTTTCACATGCTCATTAAGACTGTGAAGCGTTACAAAAAGATGGAAAAGCGAAGATATGAAGAGCACAGGGATTGGAACCAAAGTCGGTCACAAGAGGGTCGCGGCAATTATCCCGGTCTTTCCCGTGGTTTACCATCTCCACTTCGCTATGAGCTCAAGGTCGATGAGACGGTTAATGGCCCTCTTGAGCCAGAGAACGTTGAAGAACAGTCCGGGACATGGGGCCCTAATAATCCCGGCGACGTGGAATGGTGACCAAATGCAGGAAATGGATATAAGCCAATAGCTTTAGGGCTAATTATACATGAACTAGTCCTCCTACTGGATAAGGTACAGTGGGGCGAATTTAAAAACGTCTAAAATGTTTTTACATCTTATTATATCGATTTTAATATATTATAATTTTATTAAATTAACCTATAAAAATATAAATAAATATGTAATATTTATATTATTTAATATAGTATAATTAAAATATTTTTAAAAATTTTTAAATTTTTAAATAAGGTTGAAATTTAAAGATATAAAAAGTAGGTTTAAAACTAACCTTTTAAGTTTAATATTTATTTTTTTAGTATATTTATATAGAATTAAAAGGTTAAAAATTGGTTTTTAATAAAAGATTATTTAAATATTATAAAAATATTAGTTTTTTAATTTTTATAATTAAATTGGTAAAGTTATATAAGTTTTTATAAAAATAAACCTTTAAAAATCGAAAATATTACCTTTTCCCATATAAAAGTTACCACTTTTATAATATTATAACTTTTATATTAAATATCCGCGTTTAAATAATTTTAAGAATTAATTTAAATTTGTAAAAATAATAGTTTATTAATTATTAAAAGGTTTATAAAGTTTTAAGTATTAATTTTATATAAATATGTAAAGTTATATGTATTAAAACTTAATGAGTTTTGGTGTAAAAATGGCATTAAACGTTTATTTTTTCTAGTTATTATAGTTATGATGAAACCCGGCTATTGATTTTTGTACTTTATACTTATTGCTATTAACTTTAGTCACTTTTGTTGCGGGATTACACTGTATTATATTTTTATTATATTTTTATTATATTCTTGCTAGTCGATAAATGTTTAATTATTTATATTTTATTATACTTTAAAGTTACTGGGTTAATTAACTAGTTATATTTTTAAATAACCGCATGGCTTTTATTAATTTAACTTAATCTTATGTTAATTATTACAAAGGTTTAAGTTAAAAGTCTTATACATGTAAAAGACTTTAACACCGTATTTAAGCGTTATCCCTTTATATTAATACTATATCGGCTACTTGTTAAGTTAAAATTTAAATGGCTTATTATTATAATTGTTGGTAGGTACGTACGTAAATAGGAATAACAATAATAACGATAAAGTAATAACAAATAAAGCAATGGTGTTAAGATTAATATATTAAGATATTTAAAGAGAGAAGAATCTATTTAAGGCTAGCTAAGTATAGCGTATTTTTATATTCCAATAATAATAAATACCCAACCCTTTTATCTAGTAAAGTCGGGTATCTTATCTCTTCCTTCCTTATCGGCGATAAGGGCACCTTATCATCAGTAAGGTGCCTTTATGTCAGTGTCACACAACCATTAATAATTATAATAATATTACATTAATTATTATCCTTTTAACTAACATAAGACTATAACTTCTTTTATAACCGGTTGTTATATAATTAATACGTATTAAATAAACGTTATATAAGGTTTAATTTATTATATTTCTTATGATTTAATTTATTAAATTAAAATTGTAAAAACATGTATTATACCGTTATTTTATATAAGATTAAAGATTTTTAAGTTATTTAATATAATTAATTAATTTAATATATTTTTTAAATGTAACCGATAAGTTAATTTAATTTAAAATATTTTAATATTTTTTATTATTTAAATTATTAACAATTTAATTTTAATTTAAAAAAAGACTTTAATTGTTTTTAATTTTTATTAATATATAATTTTTACTTTATAATTATTTTATTTATAAAAAATCTTTAATATTTATTAAAATTAATTAAATTTTAAATTATTTATATAAATTTTTTATAAAAGTTTTAATAAATTTATTTACAATTATATCTTTTAAAATAACGTAATTTATTTTAATATAATTTTATTAAGCCTTTTAATATAATTAATAATTATATATATTTATATATTTTAATTTAATTTTTAATTTTTTAATATTTTTATTAATTAATTTAATTATTTATTTATTATTATAATTAATTTTAATAATAAATTAATTTTATAATAAATATAATTTTTTTATTATTTATAATAAAATTAATAATTTAATTTTTATAATAAATATAATTATTATATTTTATTTATTAACCTTTTATGTTGGAATATGGGGAATAGCCAATTATGTAATCTAGTCACGTGCCACCACGTGCGTGGGGCTAAGCCTAAAAGGGTTTACCTTTTAAGCTAACCCACACACACACAACTTAACAACAAGCAACAACAGATCGTGATAGCCTCATTTTAGTACCGTGTGTCCCTTTCCTTTGCCGTACGCTTATTGGTGTACACCTAATCCTTACCTAATTATTACCCATACCTGGTCCTTCTTACATTTTAACCTATTATATTTTTAAATAACTTTATTACGTATATTTAAGAGTTTTTTTAATTATAAATATTATTAATAAATGAGATATTATTTATAACTTTAAAAATATTACTTTTTTTAATTATAACGTATATTTTTATATATGTTTAAAATATAAAATTATTTAATTTAATATATTATAATATTTTAAATTAAAGTTATAATTAAATTATAAAAGTTATATTTAAACGTATAATTATTATAATATATAAAATAAACCTTATATATTATTAATAATAATAAATATTTTTAAGTAAAGTTATTTTTTTATAAAGAAATATTTAAGATTTAATTTAAAAATTTTATAAAATTAGTTATTTTATTAATATATGCAAATTAATTTAATTAAATAAATTATTTTTTTTAATCTTTTATTATTTTAATACTTAAAAATTATTATAAATTATTATTTTTAATAAATTAATAACATTATTTAAAATTTTTAATCAAATATTTTTTTTTTTTAGTTTTAAAATATATTATAATAATATTATTAATATAAATAAATAATGAACTAGTGTTAGTATATCAAGTGACTTTAACCTTAATCATGTAATTATATTCTTAATATAAATATTATTTATAATTATACATATTTATTTTACATAGTATTATCTACTTTTAATATAAGTTATTCCTTTTTTTCATTAGTTTTATTATTTAAAAATCCTTAAAATCAGGTTTAATAAGGTTTAATCCAAGGTTAAAACGTTTAAGTCTTATTTAATAACGACTTTTAACAATTTAAACCTGTAATATCAGTTTTAAAAGGATTGTTATTATTGTTAAAAATGTTTTATCGTGGTTTAATTAAATGGCCTTTTACAGTTAATAAAGTCTATAATCCCATAATTTATAAAGCTTATAATATATTAGTTAATAGTTAAATTTACGATAGTTTTATCGATATTTTTAGCCGATAGCTTAAATATAAGCTAAATAACTTGATTAAACGATTTAAGCCTTATATTAATTATATTAACTTATTTAAAAATATTTGTTTATTAGTTAATTTAATTATGTTTTAATATATTAGTTAATATATACGATATAACTTTATCGAGAGTTTTATTTATAGTTTTATTAATAGCTTTAACAATTACGTTATTTATTAATTAAGTTAATACGATTTTTAAAATATTAATATTTTTATACCTTAAATTAAAATATAAGATACGATACGATTTAAAAAATATTATTATATTAGAATTTAATTATAAGTTAGTTTTAAGATACGTGAGGGTTATGGCGTATTTTAACTAATCAAATATTAAAAGATAAAAAGTAGCTTTATTAAATACGTAAAAGATATAGGGATAAGGTTGGCGAGAATATTGGTAATTACCACGTTTAAGGTTATATTTCAAGTTATTTAAGGATAGTATATAATGTTTTTTGGGTTATATTTTACCTAGTATATAAGACGATCAGTTATAAGAAATTAATAATAAAAGAGGCAAGTTAACCAGTTAATCGATAAGTTATTAAGTTTATTATAAAGGAGGTAAAAGCTTAATTAATATCAAGACTTATTTAAGTCAATATTAAAATATCAAAGAAAACAAATAACTTAATTACAAAAGTTATATAATACCGGAATGAAAAAGAAAATGAAATTAACCAAATCTATTACAAAGGAGATAAAGTTATACGACAATCTTTTATATAATCTTTATACCATAATCTTTATACCATAATCTTTATACATATTCAATTCGATAACAAGCATTACAATCAAACCTGTTACTATACGATTTTATATGGCTAAGGGATATGATTTAATAATATAAGATATTTGATTAATGGATTTTAGTTAAGTTAGTTAAATTACACGGCATATAAATTTATTTAAGATATGATTTAAGACCTAATAATACCCAAAATATTGGGAAAGTTATATTATAAAGCTGATAATTAAAAGCTTTAATAGCTTCAATAGCTTAAACAGTACGAAATTTTTTTTTAAGGTTTAAGATTTAATCTTTACTCGTATTGTTTTATTTCTTTTTTTTCAAGTTTTAACCCTTGTTTCGTAAGTCAAATTTAATCTCGTAGCCTTAATAAAATTCGAAAGGAAATTATAAACTAATGTTAATATATCAAATAATTTTAATTTTAATCATATAATCATATTTTTAATATAAGTATTATTTATAATCACACATATTTATTTTACATAATATTATTTACTTTTAATATAAGTCATTCCTTTCTTTCATTAGTTTAATCATTTAAAAGTCTTTAAAATCAGGTTTAATAAAGCTTGATCTAAGGCTAAGACGTTTAAGTCTTATTTAATAATAAAATCTTTTTTTTAATAAATATTAAATTGGTGTTAGTGTATTAAATGACTTTAACCTTGATCATATAATCATATTTTTAATATAAATACCATTTATAATCGCACACACTTATTTTACATAATATCATCCACTTTTAATATAAATCATTCCTTTCCTTTATTATTATTATTTAAAAGTCCTTAATATCAAGTTTAATAAAGCTTAATCCAAGGCTAAAACGTTTAAATCTTGTTTAATATATAAAGTTCTTTAAAAGTAAACTTAAAATTTAAGATTTTTAAAATTTTAATTAATTTCTTTTATTATA